TCTCACAGATGTGGAGCCTCCTGCAACCATCACCATCCCGACACCTGCCGAACTCTCCATCACCATTGTTGTAGTCGTAGCATATCTGATGGAGTGAAGAAAAGAAAAGATGGCTACAATCATAGCCTGTATATAAAAGATGGATATGGCCAACGTTATATCCATTATTTATGTTAACTAGCTATAAGCAAGAGGCGGATCTGACTGAGCAACTGAGGACATGTAGCACCCACCTGTAAGTAGGTATAACCCAAAATCATACTTTGCTTTATCACAGCAATAAATGCTCGATAAATTAAAGTTAGCAAAATGCTATCTAAATAAATAAAATGTGAAACTGGTGCCCAAGATCCTAGACGTATTGGGAATATTTTTACTGAGGTCACCGGTCAATGTGGGATCATTTTCTTATTAACTTGTTTGCAACAGAAAAACTCTCTCAAGCTTTTTAATATTGTTGTATTTTGTGAAGTTGGTGCGAAGGTTGAGCTGGATATCAGCATGACAAGAAAATGTGTCTAAAGAAAGGCTGCTTGATCAGCAGATCCAGTATTGATTGAAATTCAACTTAAGAGTGCTCGGTAGTAAGACTCACAGCAGGAAGGAGTGTGTGGTCACTCTGCAGCAGCAGGGTGCACAGCTCCTCTCGGCTCAGGCTCTCCAGCTCATGCTGCCTCAGAAGTCTTTGGTTATGCTCAGAGGTCAGCTCATGGGAGAAGCTGCAGCCCCTCCTGTTGTAACAGAATCCACACAGCTGATTCGTGACTGTGAGTGCTAGCATCCATTTGCTCAGTTAAGAAGAAAAAACCCAAACCAAAAATAAAAACAGTGTAATACATTTAAATGAGCCGATGTCTCTCACTGTGGGATGATTATGAAAGCTTATCTGTCTGGAACAAAGTCAGCTGTTTTTGAGGCTGTTAGTGCTTAAAACCAAAGGGTTATATCAAATAACAGCCTAATAAATCATGGTAGTAATATTACATAAATGTCAAACTTAGGTTTTGGGACATACGTTTTAATGGGATTAGTCCAATACCAGCTTTTTATATATAGCTGGGTAGAACTAGAATCCCTTTAACATTTAAAATTGAGACAAAAAATTCAACCAAACACACTGTAAAGCCATTTTCTCTTTTTTCTAACTGCTAAGCTAAGCTGATGTTGTAGCTGCACATAAAAAAAAACATCAGAGAAAATATGTCTAAGGGATTTTGTTTTTTCAAGAACAGCTCTATAAATTCTCTGTAGGCTCCTCTTGTTTATCTGTTTGTGTCTTCATTTCTATTCCTGTTATTTGAGTTATTACAATATATGTGGCAGGTGTGTGGCAATGTCCAAGGCAAATATTGCATAGTGTTCCTCCCAATTACAACATGGTTCAGTCCACTGTGTCAAAACCTTGTTTGTTGTCAGTAGCAACCGATGCAGATATCAGGTTTACACGATAAGAGTTTGAAATCCTGCCTCCACCTGAGCTGTCAGATGCAGCTTTCTGTATACAGATACAGTGTGCAGAAATAATAATACTCCAATGCAGTAAACTCTATAATTTATTTTAAGTCCAGCATGTTTACCTGAGCTGGCTGAACTCACAGAATCCGAAGAGGAAGTTTTTGCACAGGTGCAGAGCCCTGCACGTCCCCGGGCAGTCTTTGGCTCTGCAAAGTCTCAGGCGGGTCCTGGCCACCACCTTCTCCTGTCCGTTTGGACAACAGCGAGCAAATTTCTCTCGGTTCGAAATGATCTCCGACACCTTCGTGGGATCGCCGGAAAATAGATTATACACCAAATCCTCCGTGTTGACTGCTCCTTGGCCGGCGCAGATCATTTTCAGTATTTCTGTCGCCATCGTGTCCGAGCTCTGCCTGCGTTAACTTCCACCTGTGAGACCAAAGCGCAGCCTGACTACAGCTACATGTGAGGAGGAAAACTTCGGTATCATTTCTGATGATTGGAAAGCGAAACTGAACTATTTCTATCTTGGACTGATGCTGTAATGCTGCTGATTTCCACTTGGGGGCGTCACCGCGCTGTATGAT